TGGTTCAACAATATTAATTTTATTATTATGTATTAGTGTATAAGAAATACAGGGTGCAATGGGTAAATTTCGCCATATTGTATTTTTAATTTTGCGCATGCGCATCGTTCGTTTCTTTTTTATTTTGTTGACTGCATTGTATAGTAGGGTCAGTTGGGCACTGTGTGTGAGGCAAAGATGCACGGTGACACAATTCACACCGCCAGAAATTTGGAAACGGCATTCTGTACTGTATGGCATTCCCGTCGGGAGCTTCAATCCAAACATTTCAGGCAACAGTTAACAAAGAAAACACTGTTGGATAAATCCCTCACAATGTTTTCGTGTCAATCTGAGGACAATGCAGAGAATTCGGAAAGAGATGAATGTTAAAATGTGATTATGAAGGCGTTTGAAGTGATCTCTGGTGGTAGCGACGATATGCTTCTATACATCTTCCCGCAGGGCCTCAGAATCAACACGGAGGCCTAAATCAAGTGACTCGAGGAAGTAGTGTTGCTCTGGATCAAGATAGTTTGATGGAAAAAAACTATGTCTGTGAACAGGACTCTGCACCATACCACATAAGCAGAATAAACCAGTCATGGTTATCAGACAATTTCTGCGTCCACAGATGAATCCTCGTTCCTCAAAAACGGCTGATCAAAAGCCTTGCTGCCGGATGTAGTTTATCGTCACTACCAGGATGTGTACAAGAAAGAGCGATATCAGTAAACTTCAAAAACGATTTATTCTTTAAAACTGTTTTAAGATAAAGAAATTTCAACCAACAGTAGCACTAACTGCTCGACGAATGTCTCCTGCTGGGAAGCGTCTTTCTAGCTTCTGCTTCGATGTGACGTGTCCCTTCCGGACGTGGTCGATCATGGCCCTCCGTTTTTTTACAGAATGCGAAGGCCGGGGTCAGAATGGTAAGTGATTGCTCGGATTGCACGGGGGCTGGGCATTCTGATAGAGATGCTTTGCCTTTGTCTGATTTTTGAATATCAGTCAAAACGGCACAAATTCAACAGTGTCCCAATAATTCTGAAGCGTCAATATGCTTCCCACACCCAGGTTTGCGATCGGCTAATACCACTCGCGGAGGAGGCTGCACCAACGTGCAACTGGCGTTCCTGTGACGTCAGTCCTTCTATTGCCTCTTAGAATCCAAGGTGTCACTAAAACGAATCCAAAAATGGAAGATCCTTTCGTCGATACCGTTTTATGAGTAGTGTGGGGATCCCAGAGACGATAGAGAACGCCACACTTTTTATCTCTTACTAGAAGTAGAACCCGGCGTTGCCCGGGGATGTAACAGTAAGAGATAGATCAAGTATCGACCATCATAAAGACTGAAAAATAAAATTGACAAAGATTATTTTTTAAGGTTGACGGACACGCATGTCTTAATTGGATTATATTTTTTTTTTTTTTTACGAATTGGTCAAACCCAAACTCAAACAAAAACATTGTTTTCAATCGTTATGAGTTTACCGATTGAATAGAATTTTATTATAAACAATTGTCTTGTAAATGGAATTTTTGAAGCATTCTGAATGTAAAAATAAAGAAAAAAGTGTGCAAGACAATAAGAAACACTACCTGCCAAAAAAAAAGGGAAGTTTTGTTGAAATCGGTTTAAAAATGTAGGAAATCCGATCCCCTATATAAACGAACACACACACAGACACACAAACAACCTGGGTTTTATAATAAGTATAGCTCGATATGAGTTGTCCCCCTTTCATTCTGGCAACAGAATCGTGTTTTCAAATTGATTTCGTGCAAAAACCATTGTGTTTTTCCAATTTTTGGCGCTGTCAGAACCACTGCAAGGTAATTTGACGTAATCCTGTGAAGTTTTGTTGAAATCGGTTGAAAAATGTAGGAAATCCGATCCAATATATAAACGTACAGACACACACACACACACAAAAAAACCCTGGGTTTTATAATAAGTATGATTCTTTTTGATTCCTTTGCTTTCTATGTCGTGTGATTGCTAAATTCTCCACGACCTCTGTGTTTCTGATTGTAAGAGTTTATTTTGTTTCCACTTGTAATTAAGACTTTTCGCTTGTTTAGGCCGTCCGTCCAAGGTATCATTAGTATCCTTCTCTAGAACAACATTACTGTTGCCTCAGATCTCCTCTTCATCTATGGGGAAATTGAATAATATTCATTGTCATATACGAGGATTGTTATTACATAACATTTCAACAGTGTTTTCTTTGTTTCTGTTGCCTCAAGTCTCCTCTACATCTGTGAGGAACTTACCCAACATTAACTGTTGTTATGACTTGAAGAGGGACGGGATCCGTCAGGTTATCTTGCCAAAGACACATGACTTATTCAATGTCTGTAGTACATGTGTTTTTCCTACAACGTAAGGATTGTTAATGATACTGTGCTCTAAGCATTTCAGTTGCAGAAGTAATTAATTTTGCATTTATTAGTACCGTAGAGTGTTAACGTGAGGAGGGATGGATTCCGTCCGGTTATCATCCCCTAGGAACATCTCTGCTGCTATGGTTACATTACATGTAGTGCACCTGTTATTTAACGCATAACGATGGTAATGATTTTAATGATACAATTCTGAAGAAGGATAGGTTTCGTCAGGTTATCATGCCCTAAACACAACATGTGGTTCCCCTACAATCTAACGATTGTTAATGATACTATGATGTATGCATTTTAGTATTAAGAGCAACAGCCTTTGCATCTATTATTACTGTTAGTGTTAATCTGAAGAGGGATGGGTCCCGTCGGTCTGTTATACCTAAGAGCATTGTTTCGCAACTGGTGTTACTCGGAACTCAAGAGGTCGCTAGGGGTTTCGCTAGTGAAATAGGCTAAAGCGTTTTTGAGTAATTTTTGTTTAATTTTATATTCGTCATTTTAATAAACACGTATGACATATTGCAGGCAAATTCTTGATTGTTATAATAAAGCCATCAACTACTTATATTATTTTAAAATTATATTAATCATAGCGATGTATTTATGACATCACTGCGAAACTGCCTTCATTGGTTAGTGGGCAGGACCTGTGTTTCTCAACCGGTGTTCCCCGGAGCCCTAGCGTTTTTCAAGAGGTCGCTGAGGGTCCCGCTAGAAACAGTGATGAATAGGCTAATGTATTTTTGAGTAATTTTTGTTTAATTATATATTTGTCATTTTACTAAACACGTATGACATATTCTTGGTAAATCCGTGGTTGTTGTAATAAAACCTTCAACCACTCATATTATTTTAAAATTATATTAATCTTGGCGATTTCAAGATGGCGTCAGTGTGAAACCGCCATCATTGGTTAATGGGCAGGACCTGCTTTTTTCAACCGGTGTTTCTCGGAGCCTTAGGATAATTCAAGAGGTCGCTGAGGGTCCTGCGAAAAACACTGATAAATAGGCTAATGCATTTTTAAAGTAATTTTTGTTTAATTTTATATTCGTTTAATTTTACTATACATGGTATTATCTGGTTAAAAAGGCTTCAACTTCTGATATTATTCAAAACTTAAATAATTACAGGGAATGTATTTAGCGATGTATATATGGATAGCGGCTCGGATTGGGGAAAAGGAGAGCCGAGTTCGAATTCCATTCGAATCCATTACATTGACTTACGTGCTAATACCCTTGGGAAAGGTATGAATCCTCTTCTGGGTAAATAGCAGGACAGGCCGGGATCTATAGCCCTGGATGGCAATTGGTCTACCGTAGAAAGAAATGGCAATGGTTATCCAGTGGCGACCTACTGCGGGGAAAAAATCCGCCTCGTCAGTCATGCTTCGAAAGACACATGATCGCCTAAGCGTGTATCACGCATGACACAACTATCGGACTGGGTTATAGGAAAAGGAAAAACTCTGAATACAAAACCGGACTGGAGAGGATAGGCCACTGTCTTACCCAAGAAACACCACTTCTACTGAAGTACACATGATACCCCTAGAACCCAAGGGGTCACGGGATACAAGATAAATAAGGTGACACATGGTGAAACTGCCTTAGTAGACAGGACCGGTACGTAGTGGATTCGTGAGTCATTGAGTGACGCACTCGAGTGTAGGACGAGTGTCCATATATTACGTTCACCACGTGAACCATGATGAAAATATAAAAGCGATAAATACTAATAATGGTATATAACAATTTTCATATAGGGGTTCCCTGTGAACTACAATGAAAATATAAAAGCGATAAATATTAATAATGGTATATAACAATTTTGATATAGTGTTTCCCTGAGACATGAAAACTATTTCAAGGGTGGCATAATGTTAAAATGTTGAGAAACACTGCTCTAGGTTCTGACTGAAGGGTTGTCTTTAATATTAACCAGTCTCTCTATGCTACCGTTTCTCAACCAATGTTCTCCAGAACCCTAGGGTTCTGTAAGAGGTCGCTGAGGGTGCCTTGAGAAACAGTGATGAATAGGCTAATACATTTTTGAGTAATTTTTGCTTAATTTTAATGAGGACAATAGTCCGAATAATGTAAATAGTGTACATAATACCTCATCTCAGAAATATAAACAGATACTGAAGGGATGGAACGTTGTAATAAATATGGCGTCAAAGATGAGGACAATTGTCCGAATAATGTAAATAGTGTACATAATATCTCATCTCAGAAATATAGACAGTTACTGAAGGAGCGAAACATTGTAATAAATATGGCGACAAAGATGAGAACAATAGTCCGAATAATGTAAATAGTGTACATAATACCTCATCTCAGAAATATAGACAGATACTGATGGGCCGAAACGTTGTAATAAATAGGGTGACAAAGATGAGGACAATAGTCCGAATAATGTAAATAGTGTACATAATACCTCATCTCAGAAATATAGACAGATACTGATGGGCCGAAACGTTGTAATAAATATGACGACAAAGATGAGGACAATAGTCAGAATAATGTAAATAGTGTACATAATACCTCATCTCAGAAATATAAACAGATACTGTAGGGCTGAAACGTTGTAATAAATATGGCGTCAAGATGAGGACAATAGTCCGAATAATGTAAATAGTGTACATAATACCTCATCTCAGAAATATAAACAGATAATGAAGGGATGGAACGTTGTAATAAATATGGCGTCAAGATGAGGACAATAGTCCGAATAATGTAAATAGTGTACATAATACCTCATCTCAGAAATATAAACAGATACTGAAGGGCTGAAACGTTGTAATAAATATGGCGTCAAGATGAGGACAATAGTCCGAATAATGTAAATAGTGTACATAATACCTCATCGCAGAAATATAAACAGATAATGAAGCGATGGAACGTTGTAATAAATATGGCGTCAAGATGAGGACAATAGTCCGAATAATGTAAATAGTGTACATAATACCTCATCTCAGAAATATAAACAGATACTGAAGGGCTGAAACGTTGTAATAAATATGGCGTCAAGTTGAGGACAATAGTCCGAATAATGTAAATAGTGTACATAATACCTCATCTCAGAAATATAAACAGATAATGAAGGGATGGAACGTTGTAATAAATATGGCGTCAAGATGAGGACAATAGTCCGAATAATGTAAATAGTGTACATAATACCTCATCTCAGAAATATAAACAGATACTGAAGGGCTGAAACGTTGTAATAAATATGGCGTCAAGATGAGGACAATAGTCCGAATAATGTAAATAGTGTACATAATACCTCATCTCAGAAATATAGACAGATAATGAAGGGATGGAACGTTGTAATAAATATGGCGTCAAGATGAGGACAATAGTCCGAATAATGTAAATAGTGTACATAATACCTCATCTCAGAAATATAAACAGATACTGAAGGGATGGAACGTTGTAATAAATATGGCGTCAAGATGAGGACAATAGTCCGAATAATGTAAATAGTGTACATAATACCTCATCTCAGAAATATAAACAGATACTGAAGGGATGGAACGTTGTAATAAATATGGCGTCAGATGAGGACAATAGTCCGAATAATGTAAATAGTGTACATAATACCTCATCTCAAAATATAAACAGATACTGAAGGGCTGAAACGTTGTAATAAATATGGTGACAAAATATGGGACAATAGTCCGAATAATGTAAATAGTGTACATAATACCTCATCTCAGAAATATAGACAGATACTGATGGGCCGAAACATTGTAATAAATATGGCGTCAAGATGAGGACAATAGTCCGAATAATGTAAATAGTGTAGATAATACCTCATCTCGGAAATATAGACAGATACTGAAGGGGCGAAGCGTTGTAATAAATATGGAGACAAAGATGAGGACAATAGTCCGAATAATGTAAATAGTGTACATAATACCTCATCTCAGAAATATAGACAGACACTGATGGGCCGAAACGTTGTAATAAATATGGCGTCAAGATGAGGACAATAGTCCGAATAATGTAAATAGTGTAGATAATACTTCATTTCGGAAATATAGACAGATACTGAAAGGGCGAAGCGTTGTAATAAATATGGCGTCAAGATGAGGACAATAGTCCGAATAATGTAAATAGTGTACATAATACCTCATCTCAGAAATATAAACAGATACTGTAGGGATGGAACGTTGTAATAAATATGGCGTCAAGGTGAGGACAATAGTCCGAATAATGTAAATAGTGTACATAATACCTCATCTCAGAAATATAGACAGATACTGAAGGGATGGAACGTTGTAATAAATATGGCGTCAAGATGAGGACAATAGTCCGAATAATGTAAATAGTGTACATAATACCTCATCTCAGAAATATAGACAGATACTGAAGGGATGGAAACGTTGTAATAAATATGGCGTCAAGATGAGGACAATAGTCCGAATAATGTAAATAGTGTACATAATACCTCATCTCAGAAATATAAACAGATACTGAAGGGGCGAAACGTTGTAATAAATATGGCGTCAAGATGAGGACAATAGTCCGAATAATGTAAATAGTGTACATAATACCTCATCTCAGAAATATAAACAGATACTGAAGGGATGGAAATAGTCGTTGTAATAAATATGGCGTCAAGATGAGGACAATAGTCCGAATAATGTAAATAGTGTACATAATACCTCATCTCAGAAATATAAACAGATACTGAAGGGATGGAACGTTGTAATAAATATGGCGTCAAAGATGAGGACAATAGTCCGAATAATGTAAATAGTGTAGATAATACCTCATCTCAGAAATATAAACAGATACTGAAGGGATGGAACGTTGTAATAAATATGGCGTCAAGATGAGGACAATAGTCGAATAATGTAAATAGTGTACATAATACCTCATCTCAGAAATATAAACAGATACTGAAGGGATGGAACGTTGTAATAAATATGGCGTCAAGATGAGGACAATAGTCCGAATAATGTAAATAGTGTACGTAATACCTCATCTCAAAATATAAACAGATACTGAAGGGATGGAACGTTGTAATAAATATGGCGTCAAGATGAGGACAATAGTCCGAATAATGTAAATAGTGTACATAATACCTCATCTCAGAAATATA